GGCAGGATGAAAAGATGACTCAGAGATTAAGAGTACTTGCTGCTCTTGCAGTGGGCCTGGATTTAGCTACCAGAATTCACATGGCAGCTCACAACCATCCAGTCCCAGGGAATCTATCCTCTCTGGTCTCTGGAATGCCCATGGCGCACATACATACATGCAAACACTCATACACAGGAAACAAAAATAAATCTTTTTAAGAAGCATTCCCATTTGTGTTGGGTTTAGGTTTATTTTTGTTTATTTGGTTTTTGTTTGTTTTCTATAATTTCCCTTTCACTGAGGGGATATCTATCATTTCATTCATTTCAAATACATTTTCTTTACTTTATGAATCCCATCTAAAAATAAGTGCTTTGTTAAGTCTGTATTCAATTTATTCTTATATCTGGTCATCCTAGGATTTACATCAGTACTTTATTGTTCTTGTTGCTGCTGTTACTGTTATTATTATTGTTTTTCTCCAGGAAAGCATATTCAAATATATTCTACAACATTAATGAACTTTATAAACATCATGCTAAGCAAAAGAGCGCAGTCATAAAAGACTACATGTTATAGGCTCTGATTTATATGAGATGCCCAAAATTAGCAAATTTATGACGCAGAAAGTAATTAATGTTTTCTTAGGGCTGGGGCGTGTCAGAACTGAGGTAAGGTAATGAGGTTTCTTTCTGAAGTAATAAAAATGTTCTAAAATGGTCCATGATAAGGGTACATGTGTTTGTGAATACACTAACACCACTATAAACTTTAAATAAATGAAAATTGTGGTATATAAATTATATATCAAGCCATTTTAGAATATTTTACAATTAATCTCACAATTTTAAATAAACATTCACCGAATACCTAATGCTGGGTCATAAAAAAAGAAAAATATCTTTCTTCAGGTAAGAAAAATTTGAAAACACAAGTCTTATGAACTAAAAACATAAAAGTGATTATTATCATGGGGCTACAACAAGAATGTAAAGTGAATTTTAAAATTTTTAAATTGAAAAATGTGATTATTATCAAGAACAATAACTAATGCTATTGAATAAAATTAATAATGAGAAATTTATAATTTTAAACTTTTAAAAACTACTTTGGAAGATTTAAAATGAAGTGACTCCTCATTTTTAATAATTAATAATCTACTATTATTTGTCCATATGGGCAAATATTTTAGTTGAAAACTTTTTTAAAAAATAAAACTTGAAAATATTTATATTAATTCTTTGCAAATTTCTTATAATGTATTTTGATCATATTTCCTGTACATCTTCCACACTTATCCAGACCCATACTTATCCTATCTCAAACTAAATTCATGGAAACAATTATGTTAGAAGATTTACAGAAGTGAAATTAGTGTCTCTGAAATGTTCATGTCATGTACTTTACCCTAATTCACAATTTTGAAGCATTACCTGTTTTCTAGTATTATCTTTCTGTGTGAATCTGCTGCCAGGTGCTGTATCTCAATGGTGGAACATTTATTTACCCAACATGCCCAACACCCTTGGTTTTATCCCCAGCAACAGGATTTAACAAAACAAAACAAACAAACAAACCAAACAAACAAACAAAAAAACAAAATCTGCCAACAAGCTCAGAAAGTTCTAGTATGAAGGTCAAATGTGCTCCTCTGTTGTCTAGGAGAGCCTAGGAAATAGCTCAAGAACAGACAGAAGACAGGGTAAAACCTTAGTCACTGACCTCCACACAGTGTAGCTATTAAAGTCCATGCTAGAGTCAACATTATGATTATCTACATAAAGGTTAGAAGATCTCACAAAAGTCCTGGTCTTTCCTTCTTGTCATCTAAAACTAGTACTTATGGTAACCAAATACAGCATTCTATCCAGAGCAAGCTTGTTTTCTTCTGTCGTTCTGGGCAGATTCTATGTCTTTGATATATGGCATTGTAGCTGACGATCTGAACTGCAAGTCCCTGCTGATTTTAGTTAACATATTTAGAAATACTTGTTTTTATCAACCTAAAATCAGCACGCACTTTACCATGGCTCAACATTTAGCAGAAAGTTGTATCAACCTGAAGCAGACCAAATGACACTCCTACGTCACTAGATGTCAAGTAAACTCCCAAATTCTCTGCCTCAGCAGAGATGCCTGAAAGGAAAGGGTACAGCCTTAAAATGCATACTGAGTTCTCAGCAAACCAAGAAAAGCTGGCACTCATGCTTCAAGCTCTGTGCCACAGCACAGCCACAGCAAAGTCTAAACTCTGAGTTGACAGATTAATGAAAAGAAAATATTTGATGATTCCCAGAAAAGTATTTTAATAAATACAAGAAGAAATCAGTGTGCTACAAGCACAGAAAATGATGGATATATTTCCTATGTGTTCAAGGGCTGACTTTAACACTCAAATCATAAAAAAGGGCCACGGAGATGACTCAGCAGGTAAAGGCTTCTGCCACCAAGCTCAACCCTAAGTTCAAATCCCAGGACCCACATGGCAGGAAGAGAGAAGCAGCTCCCACCAAACAGTGTAAAGCAGGCCAAAGGAGATGGCTCAGTCTACAAAGCCCTCGCTTACTAAACCAACAAGAGAGAGAGAGACTGCTAAGCAAAGGTGTGATGAACGGCACCCAAGGCAGTCCTCAGACACCCACACCGTCATAAGCAGCATACGTGTGCGTCCTCCCCGTAAACATCCCCCCAAATTCAACAAGAAAATGCAATGGCAAACCTTCATGCTCTTTCCCTGAATATAACTTACTTGCTTTGGCTCTTTTCCCTTAGCTAAAGTATTTCAATCTTTTTTTCCCAGCTTCTTTCAACAGGTCTTTCTGAGTCATTTGTTTAGCTATTGTTCATTCTATATCTCCATAATGCTTAGGAACACATTTTACACAAATGTTTTTTAACTCTCTTTTTACTCTCACTCAATTCAATTCTATCATTAGTTCTAGCTTCAAGTAGCTCCTTAAAAAGAGGGAGTATTTCCTTCACTTCCACCATGTGTCTGATCCAAGAGAGTAGCTAGAATACCTTGGAAAAAATATAAACTTGATAAGCCTCCAACATGAGTGAATTTATAAGATTAAAAAGGACACTTAAAGTGAGAGGAAACGTATGTTCAACTTGAAGATACCCCCAAAATGGTAATGAACAGCAGTTTATTAGATGCCAAGGTATACCATAAAGTCTGTAGCATGATACTTAGTAATCTGTGATAAAGACCATGCTTGTTAGCACATGCCTAGCATGCCAGGAATTATGATACAGAAGGACTGGATTCCAAGCCAGTCTTAATTACATATACATAGTGAGATCCTGCCTCAAAATGAGTAAGTGAATGAGTGAATGAATGAATGAATGAATGAAGCAAGCCCAACTTTCAAAACTGTGATGGTTTCTTTCTAATATGGCAGTAACCCTTTACCTACTAATCTTAGCATTTTCCTCTTACTCATTCTTTGCACTGTCCAGTAAAGTCTCATTCCCTGGTACCTTGATGAGATCCATCCTTTCTTTTTTTTTCCTTCTTTCTTCTCTCTTTCTCTCTCTCTCTAATTTAGAGGTTTTTATTATTTGGAAATTTCACATAATGCACCTCAATCCCATTCACTTCCTACTTCCTAGACTCACCCTTATAACTGTCCTCAAAACAAAAGAGAGAGAGAGAGAGAGAGAGACAGAGACAGAGACAGAGTGAGAGAGAAAGAGAGAGAAAAACAAGTTGTATACTCACTGGAGTATAGTTCAAACTCCCAGGGGCCAGCCCCTTAAAGAAAACTGATTCTTTCCCAGCCCTACCCTTGCCAGATGCCATCAACTGTGAAGAGTTACACTTTACATCCTTACCACATTTTTAAGAGTTCCCTTCAATGACTTCCTGTCTAGACTTTCTTTTGCGGGTTTGGATAGGAGTGGAAGACAGGTTGTCACAGAAGTCTCTCCTTCTCAGCTCTGAGTCTGGAACCATCCACAACACTGCATAAAGGTTCCTTGCCCTTTATCGTCATTGGCAGCACAAATTGCCTCCTTTTTTAAATCATTAAATGTTTTTCAATATTTTATTATCCTTTTTAAAATCCTGTATAAAAACCATTTTGTAAACAGGCCTGCTTTTCAATCCAGTGATAAATGGTATGTAAGATAATGCATTAGCCCAACCTGGCTTCTACCTGATTCCACACAAAGCTGGTCTGGAACTCCAAAGCCCCTGCCTCTGCTTCTCAAGTGTTACATCAGGTGTGCCAGCCACCATGCTTAGCTCACATAGAAAACAGTTTAAATGATGAATTGTTTACCTGTCAAACAGTTTATAATAAAATTATGCCATAAACATCAAAACTATCAGTGTTCTTTAAACAAGAAATGTCCTTTTTATATCTATGTAACCCTTCTTTTCCTGTGTGTATGTGTACATCCATGTGTATATGCTGTGTACCTGTGGGCACACGTGCATGGGAGGCCAAAGGTCAATTTAGGGCATCTTCCCCATTCACTCTCTGCCTTATTTTCAAGATAAGGTCTCTCAATGAACTTGGAGCTCAAGTTCATTGTGTTGAATCAAACTCAGTGTTGGGAATCAAACTCAGATGTTCATCTTTGCTGTCTCCCCTGCCCAAGTCTTTTCTTGAGAAAAATAAAATATATAACAAGTCTATAATTTATGACCTAGAATTCTAACTAACATCAGTATATAAGAACCAACTATCAGGAAACTGACTGCTGCATACTCCTTTTGGGAAGGACATTACATGTAAATTCAGTCATGAGTGTGTTCAAAGTATTCCACAAAAAAATTCTGACTGGAAGTGGGCATGTGTAGATAGTATGTAGATGTACATACAAGCCAACACATCAGTTCACTAATGCAGATGAATAGTACCAGTAAAAACACAAAACCAAAACAATCTCAAAATAAATTGTTTGTTGATGAAGTGTAACTAAGGCCAGCATTAATAACTCGGGAGCAACAGAGCTGCTTCTAGCTGTAACATCATACCAGCCAACGGAATGACAGATTGGCAACTCACCTGTGTACATAGTGGAGCTGATGAACTGAGTCGATCGCTATCACCATCTCAGCCAAATAAAATCGAGCCATGTCTTCAGGCAATCTGTCTTCAAATTTGCTGAGCAGGGTAAGTAAATCCCCACCAACATAATAATCCATAACCAGGTACTGTGAACAAAAATAAAATATACTCAACAAATAATTATGGCAAAATTAATGTATTTAATGCATCCAGGGTCAAATAGGATTAGAGTAAATAATATGAAGGTTAATTACTTGTGTGGTTAACTAACATTTAAGTATGTAAGATAATTATCAGTAATAATAGACTTCTAAATTTCATAAGCAATGAAACAAATTTTTAAAACTTGGTATAGAAGAAAGGATTACCATTTTTGCTGTTTTTGTCCTTTGCCAAGTAAATGATAATATCACTCACTTCCAGAATGGATTTTCTCAATATACACACACAGAAGTATACCCATTTTATATATGTTTGTGTGTAGGTGTGTACATGTGTACCAAAGAAGGGTTATATATCAGAATATTCACCAGGCTGAGTCAGATGACAGATGATGTTACAGAGTTTGTTCCATTTTAGATTGCATTCCAAATATATATGACTTATACATTCCCATATGCTTACATACCACGTGCATGCCTTGACCTTACAATGACCTTATTTGTCCTAAGATTTACTGATTTTTGAGGCCAGCATATGTCTTTATGCCACATGTGTGCCTAGTGCCTATGGGGGTCAGAAAAGGGTATGGATCCACTGGAGCTGGAGTTACAGTGTACGTGTAAGCCACCATGTGGGTGCAGAGAACAAAAACCGGGTCCTCTGCAAGGGCAGCAGGTGCTCTTAGCCACGCACGTATCTCCCTAGCCAAAAGACAATTTTATTACAAGATAAAAAATATTTCTAGGATCTCACTAAGCTGACATTATGAATTTGGCTTAAAATTTCTTTCATTATGATACATGAAAATTATAAGCACAGAAAATGTATGTTAGGAAAATTATATTCCAAATCCTGATCTACAGCTTTCTTGTATTTAGTAAGCCTAATATTTAACTAACCCTACCCTGAAGCTTATTAACAAGTTAATTCAATCTAATAAAATTCTATAATGTTATCAGGTTGTAAGAAATGGAGACAGATGTGGAGAAGAAATATTTGTTTCTTAACTTAAAAGAAGATTTAATTACCCAGGTCAGTAATCCTGATAGGGGAGTAGCTGCACCAGGCAGATCCCAAGAAAAAGGCAGCCTTAGTAAGAGACTTTAAGGCACAGAAATTGTGCAATGAAAACAGACTCTAATACTCATATACAGAAAGCCATAGAACATAACTCATATCTCACTACATATTTACTGAGGACCACTTGGGACTACCATGTACCAAACACTAAGGATATATGCCGCCATGGGCTAAAGAGAAGGGAGTGCAGACTGTCAAAGCAGATGCTGAGCCTGATGGCCAACTGTCGGGCAGAGTGAATGGAATTTTAGGTAAGAAGTGGGAAATAGCAAGAGCTGGAGAGGACAGGAGCTCCACAAGGAGAGCAACAGAACAAGAAAATTTGAACACAGGGAACTTCCCAGAGACTCATACTCCAACCAAGGACTATTCATGGAGATAACCTAGAACCCTGACAATGCAGCCACTTCTGATGAGAACTGATAGACTAAGATCAGAAAGAAGGAGAGGAAGGACCTCCCCTATCAGTGGACTTGGGGAGGGGCACGCATGCAGAAGAGGGGGAGGGTAGGACCGGGAGGGGAGGAGGGAGGGGCTTATGGGGGGATACAAAATGAATAAAGTGTAATTAATAAAAGTTAAATAAAAAATTTAAAAAAAAAAGAAGGAAGGCCCTTCACCAAGGGCTTCTTCCTTGAAAGGGCACCCCATTCTTGTTACACCAGACTCCCAAAATATCTGAAGATACAACACTGAATTCCTTAGAAAATATTATTTGATAGTTAACATTTAAAACGAGGTTCCCCAAGTTCTCGTATACCTTGTAAGAGCCTTATCCACACGTTACTATGTACGCCTCCTCTTACTCAACCCTATACCATTCCCTCCCAAACTTTCAAGGTGCTTTACTGAATGTCTTCCATGAAAAACACAAAACCACGTAAGTATGCAAGTACTCCTACATTTTCATGGCTCCTAAATTGGGTTCATAGCCTTCCTCTACTTTGTTCTCAGAAGTACATTAGCTGCTAATAAGACAGAATACATCAAGTTGGGGGGAAAAAAGGAGAAAAATCCACAAAACTCCCAAGGGAAAAAAAAAAAAAAACAGATCAAAATGAAAAATTCTTTCTATGTAATTCACAGTTTGACTTCAACCACCAAGGCCTTTTTGAGTCTACTACCTATTATCTCTGTATGCGATCTAGTCCTGCCCCTATCCACTAGCACCATCCTAGGTGACCACTGCCCCCCTGTGGCATTTACTGTTGTTACAGGCTTATGATAAAATGGTAGCTTTCCACAAGAATGTAAAACAGAATCCAGAACCAGAAGAACAAATACATTAATTCACCAAATCTATAAACAATTTTTAAGAGTACCTACTATGTGGTAACATCACACTCATCCGATGAGGGTACAACAAATAGTAAGAATATACTTCAGAGAATTTATAATCTATGGGAAAACAAATTAATCAGTGAATCGTAAACATAGTGGCAGGAATAAATGTAGAGAATTCCTTTGTCAAGACTCCAGCCAGATGTGGCTAAACAGGTCAGTAACCCTGCTAGGGAGGTAGCTGCAGCAGGCAGATCCCAAGACAAAGGCAGCTTACTCAGTAAGATCATTGCAAACTTCAAAAAATATGTAAGGAGCTAGAGATCTGGTTTTGTACTGGACCATTTACTAGCATGTATTTGGCTCACTGATTTGTCTAAAATGTATATGTCAGGATAAGAAAACTATTTTCTAATAAATTGAATACCTATTACCTAAGCTGAACAGCTACATAATCTATTCTTTTCTCTCATTCAGTTGAGATGTGCCTTCCTCATATTTTAAGATCCCTGGGCACTATATTCTGCAGGTGTTGCCTATGTTTGTGTCAACACTGTTCATTCTGAATAATTTCTTAGTAAAACTAAGTTATCTGGTAAGACAGATTTTTACTCATGAACTTACTTAAAAATTTTACCTAATATGGTTAAACATTTTAAAAACTAATTTATATAAACAAAAAACAAGAAGTAACAGTCCTAAAACAGATGAAGGAAGAAAATACTCCTAAAAATGAACAGTGCTTCCCAACTGTTTTGAAGATAAACAATCCAACAAAATGAGGCCGTTATAGTCACTGTCAGTCAAGTAATGACTGCCTGATTTCTACAGAGTGTTAAGAAATGAAAAGCAAAGTAGCAGCAAGATAGCAAGTGGCCATGTTTCAGGGAGAGTAAGAAGCACCACCACTGTCCTTTGGGAAGGTCATTTCACAGGATCAAACTGTAACTATGGAGATGAGGATGTTGCTTAGTCACGAAGTGCTTTCCTGGCTTGGACCAAAGCCTGGGTCCAAACCCTACTGCCTCGCAAACTGGCATGATGACACATACTGATCATAGCCCCAGCGCTTAAGAAGTAGAAGCAGAAGGGTCAGAAGTTCAAGGTGATGCTCAGGCTACATATACATAGCAAGTTAAAGGCCAGCCTATAAGCAAAAAACTTATTTGATAATAGCATTGCTGATCTGAGCAACCCAATTACAACCAACATTTCAGCCACAGACGGTGGAACATACCTGCAGCCACAACCCTTGGGAGAGGCTGAGGCAGGAGGACAAGTTTAAGCCTCAGCTAACATAGTGAACACCTGCTCAAAAAGCAAACAAACAAAAAGTCCAATGTGTGAGCACATGGCACACTATGGCCCAGTGAGAACTCTAGTTCTGACTGATGCTGTAACTCAGTGGCTATAACATACACAAATCAGTTTCTCACATCTCCCAGGAAAACTGTCACAACAGTCATACGTCAGTTTTGTCTCTCAATAATCATCATGAACTTTTGTTTTCCTTTCTACTTAATTTTTTTTTTAATTTTTTATTAATTACACTCTATTCATTTTGTATCCCCCCATAAGCCCCTCCCTCCTCCCCTCCCGATCCCACCCTCCCTCCCCTTTCTGCATGCATGCCACTCCCCAAGTCCACTGATAGGGGAGATTCTCCTCTCCTTTCTGATCTTAGTCTATCAGTTCTCATAAAAATTGGCTGCATTGTCCTCTACCGTGGCCTGGTAAGGCTGCTCCCCCCTCAGGGGGAGGTGATCAAAGAGCAGGCCAATCAGATTATGTCAGAGGCAGTCCCTCTTCCCATTATTATGTAACCCACTTGGACACTGAACTGCCATGGGCTACATCTGTGCAAGAGTTCTAGGTTATCTCCACGAATAGTCCTTGGTTGCAGTATGAGTCTCTGGGAAGTTCCCTGTGTTCAAATTATCTTGTTCTGTTGCTCTCCTTGTAGAGTTCCCGTCCCCTCCAGCTCTTACTATTTCCCACTTCTTACATAAAATTCCATTCACTCTGCCCATCAGTTGGCCATCAGGCTCAGCATCTGCTTTGACAGTCTATACTGCAGAGGCTTTCAGAGGCCCTCTATGGCAGGTTCCGAGGTTGTTTCCTGTTTTCTTCTGGCTTTCAGAGGCCCTCTGTAGCAAGTTCCGAGGTTGTTTCCTATTTTCTTTTTCTTCTGATGTCCATCCTCTTTGCCTTTCAGGATGGGGATTGAACATTTTAATGAGGGTCTTTTGCTTAGTTTGTTTAGATGTACAGATTTTAGTGGGTTTATTCTATGTTGTATGTTTATAGGAGTGAGTATATACCATGCGTGTCTTTTTGCTTCTGGGACAACTCACTCAGGATGATCCTTTCCAGGTCCCACCATTTACCTGCAAATTTCATGATTTCCTTATTTTTCATTGCTGAGTAATACTCCATTGTATAGATGTACCACAATTTCTGCATCCATTCTTCAGTTGAGGGGAATCTGGGTTGTTTCCAGCTTCTGGCTATTACAAATAAAGCTGCTACAAACATGGTTGAGCAAATGTCCTTTTTGTGTACTTGAGCCTCATTTGGGTATATGCCTAGGAGTGGTATGGCTGGATCTTGAGGAAGCGCTATT